CAGCAAAATACTAGGTGTAATCAAAACAGAGGAGGACAAAGCACGTCTCCAGCTAGACATTGATAAAGGAGTAGAATAGTCCAAAAAGTGGCTAATGCACTACAACTTGGACAAATGCAAATGCATGCACATAGGTCGCTCCAACAAATCAGTCTAAGTCTACATAATGAAAAATCAGATGGGAATAAGACAAGAACTGGGTACAAGTTCAGTTCAACAAGATCTAGGTGTTCTTGTTTCAGAAGACTTAAAAGTTAAGCATCAAGTTAAAGCAGCAGCTGTAAGAGCAAACAAGGTGTTTGGTTGGCTTAAAAAATCCTTCAGAAGCAGAGGTCTCATACTTTGGAAAGTCCTTTAAAATCGTATGTTAGACCACACCTTGAATTTGCCATCCAATTGTGGTCGCCACAACTGAAGGGAGACATCACACATGAATCATATGAAGAAAGAGTTACATTTCTAAGCCTAACCAAACTAGAAGATAGACGAGTTAGAAATGATTTAATTCAGCAATTTAAGATTGCGCATGGCGTTGAGAAAATTGAACTTGTTGTGCCTCAAGTCTACGCACAAAGGCTTTCCCAGTATAACCTTCCTGGCAATAGCTTAAGACTTACTAGGCTATAGTCAAGAACTGTGTGGAAAGAGAAAAGTTCTTTACAAATCGCGTAGTCAACGCATGGAATGCTTTACCATCAAGAATTGTTAACTTCTTTCCAACCAACGCATTCAAAAGTTGGTTCGACGCACTAACAGTATAAGTATAGACACATTGTGTGCCCAATATTTGCAGCATGAAGGTGCCTGGTGCTGCACTTCTTCATCAATATATTATAAACATTTTATTCTTAATTGACTAAAATTGTTACAAATATATTTATTTCTGAATAAACAAAATAAAATAAAATAACTCACAAATAAAAATGTTAAGGCATAACTCACAAAAAAAAAAGTTAAAATATAACTCAAAAATAAAAATGTGCAAAAGTAAAAGGTTTTTAAAAAAGTAAAAGTTTTTGTTTAAAAGATTTTTGTGAAAAGAAATATATTTGTTTAAATAATTCTGTTTAATATAATTATGTAAACTGAGTTTAAGAACTGAGTTTAAGATTTGAAAGGTTTACACATTGTTCTGAAATCAATAAACTCAACACCAAATAACATCAAGTAAATATCAGCTATGCCGTATAGTGGTCATGTGGTATTTCTTCAAGTTAACATTATGTCATGTCAACATTAAGTATGTGTGTGTGTGTGTGTATATATATATATATATATATATATATATATATATATATATATATATATATATATATATAAATATATATATATATATATATATATATATATATAGGCTTTCACAAGAAGGTGTGCGATTTCATGTCTTTATATGACCACGCACAAAATAATGTTTTAACAATTTGACCATGGCTTTTAACATATTTTCAAAATTTAAAAATGCGCTACAAACTTACCAAAACTTATCTGAAGAAAAATTTGTAAAAAGAAAATCTTACCGAAAGAAAAAAAAAAAATACTTAGTTAAAGCAAAAACACAAAAAAATAAGTATATATAATGCAACTAAAACAAAACTCATTAAACTAAAATGCTTAGTCTTTTTAATTTACGCATTAAAAACTATTACAATCTTTGTTTTCAACATTTGTATATATTTTTTATTTATTTAATATGTTTCAAAAGTTTTTATTAAAAAATTTAATAAAAACATTTTTATTAAAAAAATAATACATAATTATATATATAAAAAAAATTAAAAACATTAAAAAGCATTTCGATAATATGAAAGTATTTAAGATCAAACATATTAAATTGTAACGGCTTTTTAAATTATTTTTTTTAAAACAAAATTTTGTTTATCTTTTTCGTAGTCGTAGAATGTCATTGTTTATAAAAACAAAACATTTTTTTATTTTTTAATAAAGTTTATTTTAAAAATGAACACTTAAACAATTTATATGTTATAAATTAAAAAAATATAAACAACTGTCAATTATGTTAAAAAAAAAAAAACATTTTCAGTAAATTGTTACTTTATTTAAAATCATTTTGCTAAAATAAAAATATTTGTTTAGAAGTTTTGATGTAATTCATTTCACTTTTTTAGAATATTTTTCATTTAGCGCGTTTTTAAAACATTTTTTGAATTAGCCGCAGTCAAACCATCATAGCAAAATGTAATTTGCGTGGTCATATAAAGACGTGAAATCGCACGCCTTCCTATGAAAGCCATATATATATATATATATATATATATATATATATATATATATATATATATATATTTATATATATATAAGTATAGCCTTGCATGGTAGTCAGAAAGTTTTTCTTATAAACTGTAGTTTCAAAGAGCGCATTAATAAACCAGACCAGAAAAAGTTTAAAAACTTACACAAATTTTTTTTTCCCCTTAAATGATAGACTGCCTGCTCAAACCAAACCCTCAGTCAATGTAGCAGCGCTCCCTTGCAAGTCAGGCTATTTGTCAGTCGATGTAGCAGCACTCCGTTGCGAGTCGAGCTATAAGATAGTCGATGTAGCAACACTCCCTTGTAGCAGAAGGCTATAAGATAGTCGATGTAGCAACGCTCTGTGCATGTTTTAAAAATATTTTTTAATAAAACAACAAAAACACCATAAATTAAAAAAAACTTTCTCGCCATTGTTATTGCGGTTTTTTTAAAAACAATAAAACTTAATGTACTTCTGCATTAATTTAATTGCTTTGACATTTTGACGACAATAAAATGTAGCTTAATTGTTGAGGTAGCAAAATTTTAGTCGAAAGAGACTTTTTTTTTACCATAAAAATCTCTTTTGACTATGATATAAGGATATATATATATATATATATATATATATATATATATATATATATATATATATATATATATATATATATATAGATACATATATATATATATATATATATATATACATATATATATGTATATATATATATATATATATATATATATATATATATATATATATATATATATATATATATATATATATATATATACACACACACACAAATGTGATTCAGCTGTTCTTGTATGCTCAGATTGAGCCTGAATTTTTTTGGGGGGTAAGTTCATAATAAATATTAGGAATCTGAAATTTTAAGAAAATTGGACAAAGTTTAGCAGAAGCAGATTTTAATTAAAGTTTCAAGATTGACACAATTTTTCAAAACTTGTCTATAATCAGAAGAAACTTGTAATTACTGTAATTAGTTCTAACCTACTCAAATATTAATTACCAGTTTTAATCTACTTGAATATTATTTACCAGTTTTAACCTACTCAAATATTAATTACCAGTTCTAACCTACTCGAATATTAATTACTAGTTCTAACCTACTAAAATATTAATTACCAGTTCTAATCTACTAGAGTATTAATTACCAGTTCTAATATACTAGAATTGGAGTATTATATTAATAATGTTCCTCTTTCTTATATTATTCTTACAGTACATCTTAATAGATATTTTTTTCATAAAACAAACAGTTGAACAGTTTTATCAAAAACTGGATTTTTTTTTTTAATTTGTGCTGTGGTTTGCAACCATTTTACAGGTACATTAGTAGCTTATTCAAAGCTTTTTTAGATAGAATATCAAAAATAAAATGCAGACAAGTTATGAGGAAAAATGGCTCTTTTAAAAGTATAAGATATTTTTTACTATAAACTATCCCTATTAAATCTGACAAAGATATACAAAGATCTAGGCTGACAACGGCTTGTCAGGTACTTTAATGTTTTCTTGCACACTCTAACACAAAAACTAATAAAGAGGCTGCAAATGAAACTCTTAAATCAACTCTACTGGTTTATAATTGAACCAAATAAAATGGCAACCAAATTAAATGGCAAAGGAAATTATGAAATTATTCAATGAGTTAAAAAACCTAAAAATTGACCAAAGGTTTAGATACACTGACAAAAATACCCAAAAAATTATTGGGTTAAAAAAAAAGTATAAAAAAACAATGAGGTTTTGGCTTTTAGATGTGCTAAATTAGTTGATGCAGAGGATAAACAGTTTCTGATCAGCATAATGACTGATGGTAAGGCATCCAGGAGCTTAAATGAGTAAATAAAGGAAAACAACTAAATGTCTTTAGATGTTCTAACAACACTGTAATGGAAACAGATGAACTCTTGATCATAGTGTAAATGAACTTGTAGTTGTGAAACTAAGCAGCATTCTCACAAAAACTTGAAAACTGTATTAGTTCGACATAATATTCTGAAATATTCCACCCAAAAAAAAAACACCGAAAGTTATTAAAATGTTTTAAAAATGAATAAGCTTTAAAGGGGAAGTAAGGGGAGGATAGTAAGGGGAGGATAGTAAGGGAAGGATAGTAAGGGGAGGATAGTAAGGGGAGGAGAGTAAGACGAGGAGAGTAAGGGGAGGAGAGGACTTAGGTGTATTTAACTATAAGGTGTATTAAAAAACTTTCCAAAGATTTTTCTTTAAAAAATCATTCAAATCTTTAGATTACAAAGCTTTGAAAAGTTATTTAGTAAAATAATATTTTAATGAATAAACAGATAGCTCATGCAAAAATTAAAAGCTATTTAGAAGAGCAGCTCGCATCGCTTGCCATGTTTGTTTTATATATATATATATATATATATATATATATATATATATATATATATATATATATATATATATATATATATATATATATATATATATATATATATATATATATATATACATATATATATATATATATATATATATATATATATATATATATATATATATATATATATATATATATATATATATACATATATATATATATACATATATATATATATATATATATATATATATATATATATATATATATAATTATTATTATTATACAAAAATATTAAAGATAATTATAAAGAATATTTATCAAAGAAATAAATTATCTATTACATTAGAAAACAATTATCCATAAATATACCTGTTAAAACTTTGATTTGAACCTGAAAAAACAATTGTTAATTTATACAAACTTTTAATATATACAACATAATATCGATCATAATTCAAAAGAAAAACCTTTAACACCTGAGTTGATTTGCTTACTATCCCTTTTAATAATAGGTGGAGCTAAAATTTAAAAATAAAAGATCTAAATAAATTTATTTAAATATATAATTTAAAATATTTTTGCATAAAGAAATACTTACCAACATCTGGAAATTCGTAAACATCTGGCGGAGGTAAATTGACTTTTGGAGACTGAACTTGAGAGAAAGTTTGCATAATATTTGGTGGAATGTAGTTGTAACTTTCTTCCTTGGTAACTGTTTGCACTTTTGAAACAGGTAGATTGATTTTATTTGAGGTTTGTTTTGGTAAGTTATTTTCTTTAGGAGCAGGGCTAGAGTTGTTTTGATCACATATTTCATAATTCTCATCATGATTATTAGAAATTTGCTCAACATGTTCACAAATCTCATAGTTTTCTTCTTCAGTTGGACAAATTGGTAAGGGACGGTTTTTAAATGGAGATTTTTCTATTGAAGTTTGACTCTTTAGTTTAAAGCTCAATTGTTGCATAAATAAATTACCAGGTATAGGAGCTCCTCCTCGACCTCCTCCATTACTTGATTCTTCTGCAAAACTTACTGGTAGGACTGTTAAGTTTTTTGGTTTGACTTCAGGTGGCAACATTTTAGGTTTGTTTGGTCTACCTTTTATATTACTGGAGACACTTGTATGATCTCCTGTTTAAATATAATATTAATATATATATATATATATATATATATATATATATATATATATATATATATATATATATATATATATATATATATATATATATATATATATATATATATATATAAATATTAATTACGAATTATTGAAAAACATTGCAAAAAAAAAAATCTTAGTTTAAAAAAACTTTTTATTATTTTTTAAAATTCCGATTTTTCCCCTATTAAAAAATTTATCAATAAATTTAGCAACAAGAATATTATTTAAAGATTTTTTTTAAAGTATACTATTCTAGATTCTTGCAATAATTTAGTAACACTAGAGGGAAGAATTTATATTATTACTATGCATAGTAATAACAAACCAAAGTGGGTTAGAATGCCAAATTTCTAGCCAAAAACTCAAAACAAAAAAAAATATGATTAAAACTATAATAATATATTTTAAAGTTTTTTTAAATGTATTGATTAGATTAAATTAGACTGTATTTACTAGAACAAATAATACATGTTCTAAAGGACACACAGATCCATATTGATGAACTCCGTGACCCGAAGTAAATAAATTATGTAACAGCGTACAACACTGACTAATTTAGGTAAAACATGCAAGTGAATGCTACATTGACCGAGGGTTTGGTTTGGGGTAAGTATAAATATAATATAGTCCAGCCAGGCTATAAAAATGATATTAATGACATTTGGCCGGTTTATAAAAATGAAAATTATCACATAATAAAATCATTGCTCAGTCCAGACTAGCAGAAACTGACAAAATATTTTATTTGATTCTAGTAGTTCTAGTAGTATGCATCATATACTTTTGAAAACATTAGTTACATATCTTTTATATTGCTTTATATACTACTATTTTTGCACAAATAAAAAAATAGAGAATTTATATAATTTGAAAAAAAGTCTGTTCAGTTAAGCTTAAAAAAAAAACAGTTATTTTTTATAAAGACATTTTGATGATCAATTATACATCTATATGCACATACAAAAAATGTGGCATCGACTTTTCTTACCTTATAAAATAGAATGAATATAAAAATATGACTGCATTATTAAAAAAATTATGAATAATTTTTAACATTATCTTGCTAACGGAACTCATGTTTTGTGGTTGATTATTACTATTTAAACTTAATGTAATCATAAATATTATTTTCGTATATTAGACATACTTAACAGATATTTAAAAAAAAAATTAGATTTTTTAAACTTAATTTTTTAAGTTTTGCTGGTTTCTGACCCACTGTGCAATATCTCGAACCTTAATATCTCAAATATTTTGGTATCTTGAACAATATTTTTGATCCATGGGGAAAATTTCTCTCATTATCTGGATATTTTTAACAATTTTTTTCAAGAAATGTTTAAATAAAATTTAATTTTTTAAAATTTCAACTTTCAAAAAGTATTGCTACAAAACTTTTTAAAATTTGATTTTTAAATTCAATTTTTTTTATGAATCGAATTTCTGAAAAGTGTTCCTTCAATAGATTAACTGTTATTGTCAAAAGTGATAACATGCTGCTCGTTAAACGAAAACTTGAAAAAAAATCTATAATAGAAAAATGCAAGACATTAAGAGATCTGGAGAGAGAGATGTCTTACAAAGAGGTTACCCAAAAGTATGGTGCCCCAAAGAACACAATATCAGTCTGGGTTAAAAATAAAAACAAATTATTAACCTCACTAGAAAAACAAATTATTAACCTCACTAGAACAAAATCTAAACAAAAGAAACTTCCGTTTAGATTTTGTGATGACACTAATTTAGTTGATAATACATTTTTTTAAAATGTTTTATGAAATATATGACACATATTTTCCGAAAAATAACTAAAAAAAGCTACTTTTTTTCCTTTTTTTTACATGAATAAAAATTTGAGCAAAATTGCTCAAAAATTTATTCATGTAAAGTAGTAATTTCAAAAATGCAGATAAGGCCATATTTATGTGGTTCGTTGCAAAAAGAAGTCAACAAGTACCATTCGATGGTACTATACTGAAAGAAAAGGCACTAAAATTAGCAGAAGATTAAGAGATTTGGATTTTAAAACATCTGATTGTTGGTTTCATAATTGCAAAGAAAGGTCAGTTAAATTAAGTCAAATCTTGTTCAATTTAAATATAAACAGATAAACATGTATCTGTTTATATTCAATTTATTTAATTTCTTAAACATGTTATTAAAATTCAATTATTCTGTTCCTATTTTTAGGAACGCCATCAGCTTTAAAATAATTTCAGGCAAAAGTGCCACCATGACAAATGATATGAATGACTTCATGGAATATAGCATTCATATCATTTGAATTACAACCTTGAAAACATTTTCAATGCCAATGAATTTGGACTTTTTTACCAATTTAGAGCCTACCAAACAAAATTGAGAAAAATCTTTCATGGGGAAAAAATAACGGGCATGGAGCAGGGAGTGCAATGGGAAAAAAACTATTTATATTTATTATTAGAAAATCTAAAAACCCACAATGTTTTAAGCATATTAAACAACTTCCTTGCACATATAAAAATAAGCTAAAAAGTTGAATGACTGGAGATCTTTTTACAGCATGGGTAAAAAAGCTTGACTTTTCGTGCTCAGCACAGGAAAGTAGCACTTCTAGTGGATAACTGTTCTGCACATCCACAAATTGAGGGCCTAAACAACATTAACCCAGGCTTGGTAGGGAAGCAAGTGCGATCGCACTCTATAACTGACCACAGAAATAACATTTAGTTGCGAAAAACCAGCCAGATTTTTTAGTCGTTTTGAGAACATTTAAGTTTCCTTAATTAAGTTCATTATTTTATCGTAATTTATAAAATATTTTGTTTTACCGACATACATGGAAACATACATAAACTCGAATGTCTCAAACATCTTTGTGCCGAAAAATAAAAAAAAAATATTCGCAAACAAAAAAAACCTGCTAAATCTTTGAACAACTAATTCTATTGGTTCAAAAAATACTAACCGAAATTTCCGGAGTATTCAAAAAATACTAACCAAATGTTCTAGAGTATTCTGTTGAAAAAATTGTTTTATTTGAGTTTTGTTATGTTTTCATTGAGATTTCTAGCATAAATTGTTTTAAGAATATATTATCAAACGAGCTGTTATTTTAATTCTCGGAGCCACTACAAAGCTATAAATGTTTTAAATTTATATTTTTTAACTTGTTGACGTTTTGTAAATACATTTTAGATTTTATTAGTATATTCTTATTTTTTATATATAAGGATGTATTTTTATGTATGTAATGTATTTTTATGTATGTAATTTTATATATGTGTATTTTATTTAAATGTAATCTTTTAAAGAAATTTGTGCGATTGATTTTATAAACAAAAATACTTTCAATAATAACTGCATTTTTAATGAAATTATTAATAAATCATCAAAGTTAATACAAATAATTTTAACCACTAATCCATTTTCCTCAGTGTACCCGATAACTGATTCTTTCCCCCAAGAAAGAAAAGTTTTTAAATTTTTTGAAATTGGTTTACTAACTTCAACTATTTTTGCTTCAGTCATTCTTATAAACTCGTTATACTTTTTTCTGTATGTACTCGTTATACTTTTTTCTGTTTTAAATACTAATTAAAATTATAAAGCCCACTCACTAAACATCAGCGTTATTGTGAAGCAGTTTCGCTTCCTTCTCACAAAGTAATTTAACGTTTTTAGTTAATTTCTATCTAGCTAATTGAATTTCTACAGTAACTCAATGATTTAATTATTTCATTTGTTCATCTTACTAAGATGAATTGTTTCAAATGTGTTAAATTTTTCAAACTACGTGAAGCATAAAACAGTTATTGAAAAAACTTATTTATAAATAAATCTTCTAGCATTAGTTTTATTGGTTGAATCTCATTTCAGAGTCTGTGGCTGCATTATTTTGGCAGCCTTTTTTATGTGCCACAGTGTAAAAATGACTAAAAAAAATACCGAATGGTCCTCTGACTATTTTGCGGTCCCTAACACTAAGAGTATCTGGGCTATAACCCTTATACCCCCCCCCCACCTCCTCAATCCAGCACTGGAAATAAGACATAAATATATAAATCAAAATCATATATACTCTTTGATAATTTGAAGAACATTTGTTTCCTTATTAAAAATCATTAATAGTAAGTTGTTACTTTATATAAAAAATGTAGCTTAATTTTATAAAAAAAATTAAGCTAAATTTTTTAAGAGCAAACGTTTCAAGAACATTTGCTCTTATCGTAACTATTTTGCTTAAAGTTTTTTCGCATTAAAAGCTATTTTTCTTTTTTTAACTGTCTCTTACCGGTCCAGTTGATCTTAATGCGCTTTTTTATTTGTTTTTGCAATGTTCTCAAAACGACTATAAAATCTGGCCAGTTTTTTGCAACTAAATATTATTTCCGTCAATTATCAAGTGCGATCGCACCCGCTTCTCGACCTAGCCTGTTAATCTGATATTTCTTCCCGCTAACATCACATCTGCCCTTCAGCCCATGGATCAAGGCACATTATGAAGTCTTAAAATTTCACAGTTTTCATAAAATTGTGCATCTGTGTATCAAGGCTGTCAATAATAACAAACCTCTGCCAAAGATCTCAATCTTTCAAGCAATTAAAGATCTTGTTTTTTCATGAAATGACGTGTCATCAAGTGCTTTAAAAAAGCTAGCATCAGAAAAACAAACAAGAGTATTAAAGAAGCTGATGAATCTTTTAAATCTTTGGCAGAAGAACCTGACCGTTTGCGAGATTTAGATCCTAGTGCCATCAAAAAAGATCTCTCAGCGAAATTTTACATTGGTTTAGATTGAGATAGTTCACATGATCCTAAAATTATTGCTCAGATTTTAGACCATAATTTTGAAAACAACAACAAGTTGAAAATTGCGTTGATGAAGGTATTGACCCGTCATGCCATCTGATATTCAATTAGAAAATGCTTTTAAAACGTTTTAAAATGCTTCACTATACAGCTCAAAATACTGAAATGAAATACAATCCTTAGCACTAAAACTTGATGATTTAATGATGATGGAAAAATGGAAAATTTAAAGCAATATCAGATAACAGATTTTTTCTAAAAGATATAGTTTTTGTTAATGATTTTTCTCAGAAAAATAACTTGTTTTTGAATACAATTTTACTTTTTAACCCCTTTCTTAATATCTGTCAGGGTTAGGGTTAAGGCTATCATTCTCTACATTTCTAAAGCTTTTGATAAAGTTTGGCATGCTGGTCTTCTCCATAGGCTTTCTTCTTAAGGTGTATAAGGTAATAACTTTAAGATGTTGAACCCTTCCTAACCAATCATAGCATAAAAGTTATCCTCATTGAACAGCACTCATCTTTATATCCTGTAGCTTCAGGGGTTACTTAAAGGGTCTTCACTTACACAAGGTTCTATCTTAAGCTCTATATTTTTTTTAATTTACATGATTGATCTTCCAGAAATTATCACATCTAAGGTAACTTTGTTTGCTGATGATACTACCATTTGTTCTTGTATTGATAAAAAGGCAAAACTCTGATTGCTAGGAGGGTTGCATTTGAGCTTGAAAAGGACCTCACTTTTTTTACAGTATAGGGTTCTTCAATGGTGAATTTCAACTCAGATAAAACTCCTTCTTCAGGTAATTGTTATTGCAATAATCTGGATTTTTTTTATTTATGAACAGTAATGTTCTTGATGAGTCATCTACCCTTTGTCTTCTAGGATTAACTCTTACTTCTAATCTTTCTTGGAAACCATATACCAAACCATTGCAAAATTAGCATCTGCATCTCTTTATCATACTTGTTACTTTCTTTCTCTGGAGCCTATTTTTATCTCTATACATCTCTTATCTGTCCTAGTATGGAATACTATTGCCATATCTAAAGCAGAACTTCAAATGACATAAAAACGAATTGCAAACATACTTAGACGTGCACTTCCAGCCAACCTTTAACCAATATCATATTGTCATAATGGTTGCTTCTCTTTCTCTTTTCTACAAATACTTTAATTGTGCTGTAAGTGAAGAGAAAGATTATAAAATTCAAAAAAGGTATCTTTAACATCTTTAAAATCTTTAAAAGACATTTTTATTTTAAACATCTTCAACAATAAGTTGATAGAACTGTCTACTCAAAATGAGTTTTTATCTTTTACGATGTTATTTGTATTTTTCAAATAAAAAATTTCACTTTATAAATAACTTTCTTTTAAAATAAATTCTACATCTATATTAAAGTTTTCATTAAATTGATCAATATCATTGTCATCATCATTTCAGTCATTGCTTGTATCTTGGACTGTTGCAGGATTTTTAAATGAGCTTTCATTTTTTTTTCCATTTGGTTTTAATAAAATTAAATGTTTCTTCACAATAATTGCTGAACTTCTTAGGATGAACTTGTTTTTAACTTCAAAACAATTTACTCTCTAGCCCAAATGTAAAGGCAATGAGTCAACAAAATATTTAAACTTAATATTTTACTAGAATTCATCAACAGGTTTTGAATTTGATATAATTATCTTTAAGTGTTTAAAAGTGTGACTATGTAAAGTTTCCATTCTCCCTTAAAATGAGCATGAAAATTTTACATAATCATAACTTTCAAATGCCTAAAGTTAATTAAATAAAATCTAAAAACTGTTGATGAACTTAAATTTAGTTTGAGTGTAAATTAAAATGTGGTAGTGGTAGAGCACTCATAGACAAGAAGTTCTTAATTTAATCCCCACCACAATCCTGGTAGTACCAGGATTATGGTGGGGATTATAGACAAAAATATTGATTTGCTATTTGGTTTGAATTGGCTTATGTATAGCGTAAATATCTCAACATTTCCTAAAGTATAACTACTGCCAAAATGCAAAAAAAGTGCAAAAAAAAAGTGCAAAACCTGGCAAAAAATCAGTTGGTAAAACAAAACAAAAAAACGTCTCTGTTAAAAAAAAAAAAACTTTATCCTTATATCAAATATTATATATTTTTTTAAAGTCATTAGAAACTTGTTAAAAATATACTGAAACCTATCTTGTTTCTTTTTTTAAGGATTTTTTTTGATATATGTAAAAATTATTTAAGTATAAATATTTTCTTGTGGTAATTGGAAGTGGAGGCCTGCCAAATACTTTAGCAAATTGAATTGTTCCTTCAAGGGATAATTCTTTATTGGAAATAACTTTAGATGCAATTTGATTGGCTGCTCTGGCATCTTTTGCTGCTAAAGATTAAAAGTTTTCTCTGAACTTTATTTGAGAGCATTGGAGGGACAAACCTTTTCCAAAAAGGCAGAGGCATGTGCTGCAACATACATTTGGTTCTATCTCAATGGTGGTTTGCTCTTCAAGAGGATGTTTTATTTGCAGTTTTGAACAACTAATTTGGCAGATTATGCAATAACCCATTGCGTCTCACTTGTGTAGAATTGAAATTAAACAAAGTAAGGAGCAAAAATATCAATAATGTACCTCCAAATTGCTCACAAGTCAACAAAACACACATAACTGAAACAACTCCAATTTGCGAAGAATTCGACAACTTTTTCACAAATGTAGCTCATAAACTTAATTCTAAAATACACTTATCTTTAGCTATAAAGAGTATCTTAAACATATCAAATATCTTAAACAAATCTTCATAGTTTACTGATATCTCCAACAAACCATTCTGAAATCTCATCACTTATATCTAAATTAAAACTTTGAAAATCAATAGGTCCCAACAGCATCCCCACAAACATTCTTATTGATTTTAATTCTGAATTTTCTCATATTCTCTCTAAGCTATTTAATATCTCCTTCTTAATTGGAATTTTTCCTGACATTTTGAAATTATCTTGCGTCATTATATACTGGATATAAAAATGTACAAACTACAGACCAATTTCAATTCTTTCTAACATTAGCAAGCTCCTTGAAAAACTAATGTACTCTAGATTATACTCATTTTTGAATTCGTTCAACTGTTTAAATGAATTTCAGTTCAGATTTTGATCAAAACACTCTACTTGCCACGCTTAATAAGTATATCTGAAAAAATAAAAGGCACTGGATGCTGGTCATTTCATAGGTAGTGTTTTTATCAACTAACAAAAAGCGTTCGATACCATTAATCATACCATTTTAATTTCTGAACTTGAACATTACAGAATTTGAGGAGTTGCTTGTAACTGGTTTCAATTTTATATTTCAAATTGAAAGAAGTTTGGTCAAAAAACAGGTCAAAAACAATTACTATTCTGATTAGGACCTTATTTATAAATTTTTCTGGATCTTCATCAACAAAATTTAAAATATTTATAAGTTCTTGCACTATAACTTTTTTCTAAAAGTTATATGTTAAAAGTTATGGCCTATTTTTATGTTGGAATACAAAACTTTAACGCAATTTAACAATAGTTACAGGCAATAACATCTTTTTTCTTTTTACAGGTACTGTCTTTTTATGAGTTCTTACTTTTTTAAGTAAATGTCTTTTTAAGGGTACCGTTTTTTTAAGAGCACTGTCTTTTTAAAGATATTGTTTATTTAAGAGCACTGTTTTTAAAAGTACTAAAAACTTTAAAAATGTGAACAACTTTAAAAACACATTTTAGCCCATTTAAGAATGTTTTTATTTCGAAAAAATTTATAATTTTAATTATTTCTACTGATTTTTCAGTAAATGGTAAACTTGTATATATGTGGAAAAAAAAATTTCTATCCTTTTATAACTTATAACTTTATAATTTTTACACCTAAACAATTATATTTCAACAGTCTATGAAATTTTTAATTATACTGAATAATTTATTTTTATTTAAAAACCAGAAACATTATGAAAAAGATGTATCTGAAAGTGTGTGCAAGATATACGGAAACATATCTCAGTTCACAGGATTAAACACAGGAATGTGGTACCACCTTGATCAAAAACAAGGAATAAAAAATCCAAAGAACAAATAGCAGCACCCGAAATTTCATATTATTTTTAGGAGTCAATCAATGAAGTTTTCTCTGGATGGATTTAGATCTAATACTTTAACAAAAATTACATCCAGTGAGCGATCCAGTAAATCCAGTGAGCGATAACAGAAAATCTTATGATTGTTGGAAAAAATCGCTAACAAGGTGTTTAAATGGTAAAAAAACATTTTATGGATCTATTTAGAGCTAATTTGATCATGAAATTTATGTAACAATAACTTTCAAACAAAAATAAACAATTTTTTTTGTTGAAAATATTAATAAGAATATTCATAAACTTTTGAAAAAAAATAATATTGCGAGGTATTAGAAAAGTAATTAAGTGTTTAATTATTATGAATACCTTCAAAGTGTTGAGGTACATCATAACACTCAGCAACAGGAACAGGCTAAATTAGGAAAAAAATTTTAATCTAAAACAAAATGTATAATTTTCAAATGGAATTCAAAATTAGTCTGTTCTGAACTTTACTAAAACAATATATAAATCTAATAAATATATATTTGTTGCAAAAAAAATATTTGTTGTAATGTAAAACACATGGCATAAAAACAAATTTAATTTAACATTAATTACGCCTTAAATCATACATAAAAATTTAATAGTATAAAACATATAAAGCATATAAAACAACAAAACAAAAACAACAAGATATTTATTTTCCTCAAAATTTACAATCATATAATAACCATAATATAATTATAATAATAGTAATAACAATAATAATAACAATAATAATAATAATAATAATAATAATAGTAATAATAATAATAATAATAATAATAATAATAATAATAATAATAATAAGAAGAAGAAGAAGAAGAAGCAGCAGGTAAAACTCGTATGAAAATTAATTTTAATATTATAAATAATAAAATCAAAATATAATTATTAAAAATAAATATAAATAATTGATTGAGGAAGGAGTCACTCATGGAGAATCCTGATCAAAGGAGTGACACCAAATAATTATATTAATAATATTAATTTAAAAAATAATAATAATAACAATAATAACTTCATTCATTAATAGAGCAAAAGTAACAGCAAAAATAATAATATTTATAATGATTGTAATAATAATAGTAATAAAAAAAACAGCAGTAATGAAAGTAATAAATATTAATGACAAAAACAAAAAAGTTTCTATAGAAATAGTAAATAAAAAATAATAATAATAATAAAATAAAATTAAAAAAAAAAAAGAAAACTAAAGGAAGTTAATAATGATAAAAAATTAAAATTAAATTTTTTCTAGAATTTGTTTAAATTTATTTTGTTTTAAATAAACAAATGAAGATAAATAAAGATAAACGTCTATTATTGATTTTAATTTTAGTTATATGATTGTTGTATAAAATTTTTTGTCTTGGAGATAAAAAAAAAAATTAGTTCAGTTTTTTCCAAGTTCAGAGAAATTAAGTTTACATTAAACCAATGAACTAAACCTTTTAGGTCTAAGTTTATATTCTTACACAAGGAATGATGAGACTTATTAATATGCAAGATATTAGTATCATCAGCAAACAGATGGACTGATGAGAAGTGAACAGAATTATTTAGATGATTAATATAAATCAAAAACAATAAAGGCCAAGAACAGAACCCTGGGGAACACCACAAACTATATGTTTGTTATTTGGTTTGTAATCATTAATGCTAAGAAACTTCTTTCGATTTGAAATATAAAATTGAAACCAGTTACAAGCAACTCCTCGAATTCTGTAATGTTCAAGTTTAGAAATTAAAATGGTATGATTAATGGTATCGAACGCTTTTTGCAAGTTGATAAAAACACTACCTATGAAATGACCAGCATCCAGTGCCATTTATTTTTTCAGATATACTTATAAAAGCGTGGCAAGTAGAGTGTTTTGATCGAAATCTGAACTGAAATTCATTTAATCAGTTGAAGGAATTCAAAAATGAGTATAATCTAAAGTACATTAGTTTTTCAAGGAGCTTGCTAATGTTAGAAAGAATTGAAATTGGTCTGTAGTTTGTACATTTTTATATCCAGTATATAATGACACAAGATAATTTCAAAATGTCAGGAAAAATTTCATTTAAGACGGAGATATTAAATAGCTTAGAGAGAATATGAAAAAATTCAGAATTAAAATCAATAAGAATGTTTGTAGGGATGCTGTTGGGACCTATCGATTTTCAAAATTTTAATTTAGATATAAGTGATGAGATTTCAGAATGGTTTGTTGGAGATATCAGTAAATTATGAAGATTTGTTTAAGATATTTGATATGTTTAAGGTCTCTTTATTCTAAAGATATGTTGTTGTTTTTTTGTTGTTTTTTTTATATTTGCATTCACTCCCAACAAGGCTGCAAGCAACCACTATTAAGTTGGGAGTTACTAGGAAAAAAAAGAACAGAGTTATAGAGCAAGGAAACGGTTGACATAAGACTTGAAAAGTTGAAGGCTGTATGAGTCAGGAAAACATGAAGATGGGAGAGAGTTCCAAAGGATTGAAGTGCGGGGAAAAAAACTAGATGAATAAAAGTTTTTAGAGCATGCAGGGACAGATACAGTAAACGAATGAGACTTGGCTGAATGACGAGTAAAACTAGAACGAATTTTAGTTGATGGAACTAGAGATGATAACTCCTTTGAGCAGTGACCATGATAGTATTTGTAGAAAAGAAAAAGAGATGCAACTTTACGACGATGGGAAAGAGGCTCAAGCTTAGCAGATAGTCCAGGTTCAACAACATTTACAATGCGTTTTTGGACCTTGTCAAGAAGAGAAAGTGAATTGTTAGAAGCAACAGTATTCCATACAGGAACGAATAAGAGATTTGCAGAGGTAGAGAATGGAATCAGAAGTAAGGAAATGGCGAGCACGATAAAGAGAAGCAACCTTAGCAGAAGCTAATTTAGCAATTGATTGTATATATGGTTTCCATGAAAGGTCAGTAGTAAGCGATAATCCAAGAACACGTAAGGAGGAGGACTCAATAAGAGGATTACCATTCATTAGTATAGGAATGTTGACCATATTACGGTAGTTGTTTGCAGTAAACAACTGGGTTTTGTTAGAGTTGAAATTCACAAGCCACTGTGAACCCCAATCTATTACTGAAGTGAGATCGGATTCAAGATCAGCAGAGTCATCAGCAAAAAGAGCTACTTTAGATGAAAGGTTGTCAGGAAGATCGTTTACGTAGATAAGAAACAAAACAGGGCCCAGGATGGAAACTTGGGGAACCCCAGAAGTTAATGGAAATAAAGAAGAGTGTTGGCCTTCAAGAATGACTTTAATAAACCGGTCAGAAAGAAATGATTTGATAATCTCAAAAACTTTCCCAGAAACACCATATGAAGCAAGCTTATGGAGAAGACCAGCATGCCAAACTTTGTTGAAAGCTTTAGATATGTCAAGAGCAATAGCCCTAGCCTCACCGCCTCCATCTAATGCACTATAAAATCTTTCAGTTACAGCAGTTAGCAAGTCCGCTGTAAAGTGAGAGGATCGAAAACCGTATTGATTATCTGACAGTAGTTTATTTGACCCAAGATGAGATATGAGGAATTTGTTGATCAAAGACTCAAAGACCTTGCTAATAACAGAAAGAAGGCTGATCGGACGATAATTGGAGGGGTCAGAATTTTCTCCAGAGTTTTTGAATATTGGAACCACAGATGCCATTTTCCAACAAGCTGTGGCCGAATTCTCATCTCTCCGTTAAGCTTAACGGAGCTTTTGCCAAAAAGTTCTTTTTAAATACATAAAAAAAATTCTTTAAAAAAATATTTTTTTAATAAAATTGTTTTATTTTAGTCTTATTTAAACAAATTCAAATAAAGTTTTTGTCATTTCTTTACTTAGAAATGTTGCCATGAAATTTTTGACAAACGCTCCGTTAAGCTTATCGGAGAGATTAGAATAGGGCTGCAGGAAAACAAGACTCAGTCAAACACTTGTTAAATAGTTTAGAAAGGATTGAAGAAAGTTTTGGAGAGCAATTCTGCAAGACTGTGACAGGAATGTTGTCTGGACCACAAGCTGTAGACGAGTTTAACTGAGATATGACTTTAGCAACAGAAGCCGGAGTGATTTGAATGTCTAACAATGGGTCAACCTGTTTGACTGGAATGGAAGAAAGAGAATGTCCATAAGATTCAAGAGTGGAATTAGAAGAAAAGTTCTTTGCAAATAGTTCTGCCTTATCCTTGGGTGAGGTAATAAGATCAGTCCCATGAATGAGAGATGGAATGAAAACCATGGAGTAGAATGAGGCTTGACTTGGACCCAACGAAAAGGAATAAAAGCTTCCATTCCAGCCTGAATCCAGGAGGTTACGTAGGAGGCGCATTTATCAGCTGAGAGAGAAAAAACATCAGCCCAAGGACCATCACGAAGAAAATCACGAAAAGAATCCCAGTCAGCTTTAGGGTAGTAGTAGGTGGTGCGATGATAAGGTGAGCTTAAAAAAGAAGTACGAGAACAAAGATTTATAGAGATCATTGCATGGTCAGAACCACCTATAGGAGAAAAGGGAAAAACTGAACATAAGCTAGGGTCAGAGACAAGACATAAGTCAAGGAGTGAAGGTAAATGATTAGGGTTGTCAGGAAAACGAGTCACAAAGTTAACTACCTGAGTAAGAAATTGAGAAACGCAGAAGTTAAAGGCTTTAGTGCCAGCAGGATCAGTGGTGTTAGAGCCAAGCCATTCAGTGTGATGGGCATTAAAATCACCAACAACAACAATATTGGCAGAGGGGCAAAGAGAGAGGGCATGGTCAATTTGATCAAAGATAACATCTAAAAGAGTGCAATCATGGGAAGAAGGAGAACGATAAAGAACAAAGAGAAAGGTGATAGAGTGAAGAGGTGCTAGGCCAAATCACATAAAAGACTGGTCAAAGGATTCGAACCTGATTTCATGACAAATAGGGGAATTAATGCGTATGTATACCCCTAAACCTAGCATGTGACTATTGGAGTCTTTACGAGTCAAAGGATAGTACCCATCAACACTGACATTTGAAGAAGGAATTGCAAAATTTAAATTTGTTTTACTGAGTGCAAGCAAGTCTGGTGAATTTTGTAGGAGGTAAGACTCAACTGATGAAAAGTTGCTTCGCAGACCGCAAATATTTGTAAAAGATATATTAAGTGTATTTTAGAATTAAATTTATGAGCTACATTTGTGAAAAAGTTGTTGAATTCTTTGCAGATTGGAGTTAGTTCAGTTATGTATGTTTTGTTGACTTGTGAGCAATTTGGAGGTACATTATTGACATTTTTGACGTTTATTAGACATCTTATGCCTTTTCGGGTCTAGCAAAGATTTTTTAAGTTTTCTGAAAAGAATTTTTTGTAATGTATTTTTTTTACTCAGTTTTATTAGATTAATTATGGTATATT